AAGGTACTAGTAAATTGCTTGTCAATTTAATTGTAATATTACGTATTCCGGCTTCAGTTTAAGACTGTATTTCAAGACCAATAAATAATCAATATCCAATTTGCTTAACTAGAAATTGTAAAAATTTACACAAAAATACTAAGCATCAAGAGACGTCTTGATCCAATATGATTTTCTCTTTACACGTTTATATTGAACATTTCTCCAGCGATTTTTACTCATTATGGTTATTATTTTTGTTTTGAATCTTATTACATTTGGTAGTCACTTGCAAACAAAAGCTGAACGTTGCTCGTCTTCAAATTACCATATAGAATCGCTGTTAAGTTCCTCCATAATCTTGCCTTCCGCATTTACGAAGTAGTCCACAGTTAAGCTGCCCTGAGTATCATGCGCGCTTGAATAATTGGTCACCACTCGACAGGGTATACCGAGAGTACGACAGATCGTCGCCAACACACCGGAGAAGACCCAGCATTGTCCGTACTTGACCGGTTTCTTCGTCTTGTAATACTGCTGAAGTATTTTCTGCGAACCCATCCATCTCGTAGGTGGTGTACCGCCCCCGTAATCGTCCGACCAATTTCCCATCACCGCCCCGTTGTCATCAGGAGAATTCACCTAGAAACCGATAACCATTTAGCAGCCGAAGCTTCGCTCGTACACTGAAGAAAGAAGTATATGAAAAGAACGGTTAGGTTGAAGTATTTAAAATTTTTTAGATAGATACAGATCTGAAAATAATTTTGTTGGATTTTGTTTGTAACTATCAAAATAATTATGTAAAGCGCTTAAGCTGGTTGCTAGAATGTCAAAACTTTTTGCAGCGTTGTTCATGATGCTTGAGTTTTCTACATTCTTTTTTTATACAATATTTTAATGATTCAACAACATTATTTTCAGATCTGTATACCTAATTGTTAGATACTTCAGTAAAATCATTCTTTCTGTGTACTTTAAACACTTTTTAGAGTTGGTTTTAGAAAAGTTCTTTTTCCTAAATAATATTACTTACCGCAGCAGATAAACAGCGTGTTATGATGACCGGGTCATTCCTGCCAGAGACGCGAACTTTGCCGACATAGTTCATCAAGTGCAAGGCACAATCTAAGATGTCCCGTTCGAATTGTGCGTACTTCCACACGGTGGGTCGCAAACGGTTGTGACTGCCGCGCCAGATTAAACCATCCTCTGCCAATACGTATTCTTGACGTTCAGCTTCGCCATCCAAGTATACTACGTCGTCTGAAAAACGGAAATACTCTGTAAAACTCGGAACTCTCAACAATAACATGCATTACCGCCATGCGATTGGAAAACCGACCGCTACAGATTATGCTTTATTTTTAGAAGTTATACACAATTATGTATTATGTGTCATACATGTGTGACGTTGAGCTTTCACAAGAATTAGTGCGTCATATGTGACGTGTTAAAATATGAGGATTGTAATGAACAACAGTTGTTCATAAATTAGGATGCTCTATTATTGAAAAATCAAGTATATCATTTTAATTTAATAACAGACTTTTTTACTTTTCTATATAATCTTGGTTTTTTTTAAATATATTTTTTTTCCGCCATTCTGGAAGTTTGCATATTTCCTTGTAACAGAACTTCATTTTATGATGTAAGATAAACGGATGTAATGTAAACGATAACGGAAATTTTAACAATACGGAGGCAATCTACAAGACAGTGCCACTATCTTTGAGCAGCTGAAACGAATTCTATACTTCTGTCACAAAGAAATATTTACTTTCAGATCGATAGGAAAAATGTGTAAAAAAAATGGGATTATAGATATAGAAAAAATGTCTGTTAAGATTAAAATAATATCCTTGATTTTTCAATAACAAAAAAAAATACTAATTTATAAAAAATTGTTGTTCATTACTTTCAATGTGATCCTCTTTTATAATCTTCAGCTTCCCTACGCGTGCTTGAATCCAGAATATTAATTTGTAAAATGTCCATTGTTATCTAATTTTTGTTGGAAAGATTAGAATATTTGCAAACACCTACCTCTGCACCACGGATTACAGATTAAGTAAAATGGCTGATCCATCGTGTAACTGACAGCACCTTCAGATTCCTTGTTTTTGGTATCGATATCCATTTTCCATCTACCTATAATTGCGTTTGCGGATGTCACAACCTAAATAAGACAGATTTCGTTTAATAAGGAGCCTTATCCATTTTAATTCTTCCCTAGTTTCATATGCGTACGTTCAACATTCCCAAATTAATTAAGACGAATGTCGACGATTTTAATATTGCAATTCGCGAGACACCGATAATTCAATATACAAATTCAATTATTTTAAGTCTATTTTACTTTAAGAATAGAACATTAATTCTAATGTGATTAGAAAACTGTTTCATATTAAAGTTACAAATTTGTCAAGCCTGTTAAGTTTAATTAAAATCAAATTTTCAATAGCAAAAGCTCTCATAAGATCTCGCATTTCAACTCCTTTACTCGCCTTTATTCTCAAGAAATTTGGCCCTCTGGCATCTATAGTGGTCTGCCAGGCGGCTTCCGAAATCTCTCCAGGGTGAAGCAAGGCGGTTGCCACCAATGTCCCGTGTCCGTATTGCGGTCTCTCGACGCCGTCCAGGGTAAACACGATAGAAACACCGTCGATAGAAGAACTGTAATCCCGAGATAGATTGAGATGCAAATAAAATTCTTGACCACGTCTTACGACGAGTCTTGCTCTGTCATCCTGACGGGTCATCAGCTCGTATCTGGATGTACGATGATTTTCGCCGTTTTCTTCAATGCAAGGGTCTACATTGTGGATTGTTAATACTGGAACGCCGAAATCCTCCCCTGCAAATGACAACGTTCTTAATCCCTATCTATAACGTCTATAGATCTCATGGACTAAAAAGATTCTGAATGTCTGTGACGTCTATAGACATCACGGAATAACTTTTCACTCAAGTGATTAAGGATTATAAATAATTAGGTACAATTATACAAGAAAGTTATTAATAGAAAAAGCTAAAAATTATCATTTCTATCCCGATGAAGATAACAGCATCAAATAACAATTAAATTACGAATGTTTGTAAAGTTTTGGAATAAATGGCACATTGATCAGTTGCAGAAGTAGCTTCAATAATCGAGAATTACATGGTTGAAGAACGCGAATTCTGCTAGGAAAGAAAGTAATTTAAATATCGAAAGCACATAATAACGAAAAATAAGATTTTACCAGATCTGTCCAAACTATATGGTACAAAATTTTTTCACCACAAAGAAGATTCGAACAAAAACATCCAGTTTCTAAGCCTAATAAGGAATATTTATTTATTATAGAAGATTTATAAACAATTTTTTTTTAAATAGCTAATCCTTTAATTAAAGTCAAAGGGCTATTTGGAGGCGAGCTCTTCATTCGAGAGGGTAATTATTTTCATGAAATGTTAAACCAAAAAAAACTATATCCCATTAGAGAATCACGTTTCAGGCGAGTGATAAGATAGACAAAATACGGGTAGCGACACCCTCCCCCAAATCGATCAGAAAATTTATATATTAAGATAGGAGAAGAAGAAAAATAGAAGTAATGTGACAAATCAAATTTCAAAAAAACTTAGGATAGCAATAAAAAATATATATTTCAAAGCATATTAGCGATATTGGCGATATCAAGAGACACGAGTGTCTTTGATGTCAAATCAATGGATAGACTCTCGAGATCGTATATGTATATATACTCGAGCAATTGACTTGCGAACACCCGAGATTATCGGTTCTCAATAACGTCTAAACTGATCGAGTAAGTAGGCTCAATCCATGGCTTGAGTTTGAATTATATAATAAAAGTGGAAAACGATTCTATTTAATTAATTGGAATTCTGCTAAATTCAATCAGAAAGGTATAAATTACATACTTATAATTAAAGTCACTAAACATTCTAGATAACTAAAAATTTAATTGTAATAACCAGAAATCTGATTTGTATGATCAGAATTCGTTTTATTTCTTGTTAGTTCAACAGTAGTGTCGCTGCGTTTGGCTTAGTGCCGAGACGCTACCGTGTCTTCTGATCAGAATGTTCATCTTAGTGTGTTTTTGAAAATGTACGTCCTGTAACACGATTGTAAGCTACTATATGTACGTGGAAATTATATACGAAATATTATAAAAGACAGTAAAACTGCGAAAATAACAAAAACTTTCGTATATACCTCTGTTTTTTTTTTTTTTTTTTTTTCAATGAGGACAGAATGTTGTAGCTCAGAAGCTACACTATCTTACGAGTAGCAAGGATCACCGAATTCCCGCGTTCCCGAAATTTCAATAATGCAAAATTTGCAAATACGTCCAACTTCATTTTTTCTATAAGATTATATATATCCTTTATAATCCGCGAGAGACTCACAATAGAATCTGAACGGAAATGGTCGGGTACGCCGATCGTTGAATATCCGGTAGCGATCGTAGAATCTGTAAAACATCCCGCGACGGTCCGGGTGCACCGGATGTCCCGGCTGCGGATACGAACGAAAAGCTGGATACATGGATGAGGAACGCGTCGGACGCGAGTTCGTTGAATGACTGAAGAACCTGCAGCCACGACGAGGAGGAAGGAAGAATATGTAGCTGAGGTGGGTCGCTGCAGTTGAGGTGGGTCGCTTCTAGGAGCAATCTCAAGGACGTACGTGCTGCAACAACATGCACGACCATACATGGCGTCATCGGTGACACCCGCTGTCAGTAGGAGTCACCCACTTTTCGTTCCCATAAATTAGTCGGCGGTTTATAACCGCAATTGAGTTATCATACATCTTGATTAAAGCCTATTCTCTTGAGTTTCTTGAATAGTGTCTAATTAGAAGACATTTTAATAGGAGACAAATCTGTTCCTTATCATACAATTGATATTGTATTATAAAATCAGTACAATACTATACATATATATGTATATTTTTTTTTTAATTTTTATATAATGTATTAAAATTTAGGTATATAAATTGTTTATTATTAGCATCTAGTGTTTATTAAAATTTCTGACAATAAAATAAATGCAAAATTTTATTTTACAAGCTAAAGATTCCGATCGCTGTAATTAGATTACAGAAAGAGCAAAATTATTATTAAAATATATTATATATAGTTATTTTTTAAAATATATAATATATATTAGGTATCTCACGCAATATATAACATTAGATAATTTTTATTGAAACTGTGATCATTTATTTGAAATCTATAATGGCATAATTATAGAAATTTATCAATTGTGATAAAAAATGACATATTCTTACTTTTTAATATATCAGAGATGGAATTTTGAAAAATCTTATCATTATCATTCTTAACATCTATACTGTTCTCACAACTAATTTGGGGTATATTTGTAACTTATGAATTGTATTGTGTAAATATAAAAACAATTATTCTCTTCTACTATAACAGCAACTAGACGATTCGGTTCAGCAACATATAACTTTAAATAATAAACACAATTATATTTTCATTTTTTATTACTGCATAATCTTAAATTTCAAGATTTATCTTCTTTGAATTTTACAAATTTAACTTTTTTATTTAGAATCTCTTTAAATATTCTTTTCTTTCTTGAGATAAAGTTTTGCAAATCTTTAGTTTTAAATTACTTTGACGAATTGATTCCGACAGAAAAAACTACAACAATTATATCTACAAAGATCGATGCGAAATCGATCGCATGACGGCATTTTGTAATTTACAGGTTGCGCGTCTATGCAATCAATTTAATAGCACAAATCTACATTCATTAATTATACCAATTAAAGAAAAGTCATTAAAACCCACTGCGATTTAAAGAAATGCGACATGGTCGTTTTCGAAATCTACATGAAACAATCGATTCCTTAGATAGAAATATCCCACAAGTTAGAATGATATGGTATCTCGGTGATTAACGATCAGAAAAAAACATTGATCATTATCCTGGAATGCGTGTTATAACATGCAATCGCACAAGATTCTCGCATTTAAATAACAGAAGCGGTAATTAAACTTCACTATCTGTCTGAAATAGCACGTTTCTCGTTTTCTTTATTCAATTCACAATCAGTTGTTCAATATAACAGGCTCGTTTCTTTTCAAGAACACATATAAGAAGAAATCATTTTATCATCACTGATTTCCATTTTGGTTGACTAATACAATTTAATTCGGTGAAACCGAAACGGTTTACAAAATTTCAGGTCAACTAGAGAAATCAAGCTTTACCGTTTACGGGAAGACAAGGTGGTACTCCATATTAGTCGGGGTAATCTGCGACACGGACAATTTGAAAAAGTGTCCTTCTCTCTAATAGTTTTCAATGATAGCTTTCAATAACACGATAATTCTTAATGCACGACATGAAAGGATGGCTTTCATTCAGATTTGATGTAATCAACTTTGTATGATAGCGTGATAGCTTTTAATTCATTAATGCTATTTCTCGCTCTAACTACACTGTCATTAAAAGCAAGTGATCTGCGTCATATATTTTTTGCATGTGTCAGTCGACTATGTTGCTTAAGACTTGAATTATATTACTGCAAAATATTATTTGAAGACAAACGAGATATCGATAGAACTGGAGATATTTCAATTAAGCGAAAATATTTTTAGAACATTTTAACTTTTAAGTAGTAATATTATTACATCATGTTTTAGCACAGAATTTTAATGAGGTCGCAAATGACTACGTTACTCTTGTCGCGTTATTCAATCTGCGTATAACAATAGGCGCTCCATTTGTCATTGTAATCAGCTTACTTCATCGGTCTGAATACGAAAATGATGGTGTTTAAATGACTCAGTCACGGAATAATACATCACACGATATGTATCATGGACATGTGTAAGTATTATTATAAAAATAAGAAATCTATATAAAACGACCATATAGAACGTTTTGAAATTGTTTGCTTTTGGTCGATTTTTTTTTAGTTAATTTAAAATTAGGTAATATTTAAATTTTTAGTTAATTTAAATTTTAAATTAATTTATAATTAATCTTCTGATAATGTTTTAAAATAACTGGATCTTAAAACTAAACTTGAAACTAAATGAAAAAAGTGAAATTAGACTATTTTTCAAAACACAAATAGCAGTTGTTTTTTTATGCGACGAACGTGATAGAACGTGAATAATTATACGACTCGGAAGGACGCTCGATGCAATTTTCCAATGCATTTTCTGCGTCGATTCTTTTTCTGAGTGATAAAATTAGAATTCCTCTCGGGATCGCATGTCTTGCGCTGAAAAACATGTGCAAGCGAAATGCTTGTCAACGAGAAACTTGTTGTTTTAGTAATAGATGTACATCGAAATGTCTTAATGATCGCTCGCAGTCGAAAGAAGCACCGTCTACGCGATAATGATATGTAAATTTCTGTAGCTGAGAGACTGAATGGGAAGCAAAAAAATACAAAACCAAAAACATGTACATGTGATGAGCAATTTACATAGAAGAGAATGAGTCAACGAAGAAAGTTATCTGAAAGAGCGTGACTTAATGAAGAAAATGCTTGATGAGAGTCTCCAATGGGTAATCACGAAAGCACAATTCAGCGAAGCTTCCGTGACTAATCTTCCGGTCAGTTTACGATTAGAGAAAACACCGAAGAATTTTGTGAAATTGTATCTTGTGCTGCACTTAACGTAATAGAATGTAAATTATTGGGCCAGTTTCATCCTCTTTGATTAGTTTAATCGATCGATTACATTTAAGAATTGTGCAAACTTAAAAT